GTAAAAATCTGAAATAAATCTGTCCGCAAATTACTAATATTGTCTACTTATATTTCAAATTTGGAAGAAATCCGTTCGGTATTTATGGATTTATGACTGGGTAAGTTGAAGGTGAAGTTAGGTTTGCCTCTTGAGATCGCGCTTGAGTTCGCGCTTGAGTTCGCTGAAGTGTCGATCCGGTATGCATACATTTAATTGAGTGAATGATGATACTATGTATTTTCTATTTACGTGCACCTGAACCAATACACTTGTTCTGTAATTTTTTACCTTTTGGTTTTGCATAAGCATTTGGTTAAAAGCTGGTTTCTGAGTCGCAAAATGAACATTTTTCAAACTTATGCATACATAACCTAGAGCCGCATGAATCGCATTACATCTGCGCCCTTTCACTGTCATCTGTCAGACATAAGCCGAGTAACTTCCCATTCTGCAATTTAGTGCATTCCAAAGTTTAGTAACTTCAAGCTTCGATTTTGTACCAATTATGGCTACAAATTACAAAGTTGTATCTGATGATACTCAGTTTAACGAAGAATTAAATAATGCTGGAGGAAAATTGGTGATCGCGGATTTCACATCTGCAAGGTAATTTGATTTTGAAGGCTTCGCTTAGTTCGCTAGTCAAACAATTCAATTCGACGGTTTATCAGCTTACTGTCCAGCGACGTGTCATTGACATAGAGTTGGCAATGGCAAATGACACCTAAGGCCTAAGCAGCCGCTCAACTCAACTTTTTTCTTGCCATTTGCCAGTAATGACAAAATAACTCCAAGAATTCATAGTTACGTTGTCGTCGTTGTTGACCCTCCCCCGCCTCGCTTCAAAAGTCCAAATACATCTATAGTTATGTATGCCTAAGTATGTGGTATATTTGAATAATCAATAAGGTTGATATAGCCTACCTAGATTGCAGGAATTTATAAAATGGTTTGTGTGTTTCCAGAAACTTGAGGCAACATTTTGTTCTTAAGCCTATTGGTAAAAATAGGCCACTTTCCTTATTTTTTACTGAATAACTTGGAAAAAACCTTAGGAAATAGCAATGGATGAAATTTCCTAGATTGATGGGCATTTATGCCAATTAACTGCCAACTGGTAGCCAGTGTAGAATTCTAGAGGGATAGGTAAATTAACCAGTAGGGTAAACGCGGTATATTCCGAGTTCCGACATCGTATTTACAGTTTAATTCCGTCACGGCGTCACCTCTCTAGTTTTTCCTTTATATTAAGCTTTGTTTTAGTTCCATGCGTTTGCTGATGGTTGAAATGGTGACGTCATACATTTGCGCGTCAAACTACTGCCAAAACACTAGGTCTTGGCCAAATTCAGTATGGAATTCTCAATTCTGTACCTATAGGTAATATATTATCATGTTTACAAAACAAAATATATCGAAAAATTTACCACCTTCCACCGAAGTGACAATTGATACTCTTACACTGAGCTCGTCAGAAACTGTGGACACCCGGACAGCTGCACAGCCTGCACTTCCTTTAACTTGCTTGCGTGTGGTTTGAAAACCAATAAAAAGTCGGCAACTCTTCCCTCCAAATCATAGGTACACTAGTCGTGTATCCGTATCGACAAATTTTTGTAATGAATATGTTCCAAAATAAAAATAAAAATTGCGTAAACTTTCACAGAAAATTCTCACAATTTTACTGATACCAACAAAGTTCTCAAATCCACACGGAATGATGGGATAAATTGCTAATCTCTCACGGCGTATGGCAACATTGTGTTGAGTTGACTGTTGATATTAGACAAGACGGTGTCAGACACCTTGTTTTGGTCTTGTAAAGTTCAATTTCATAATACCTAAATAGATTTGATCCACATTTCACATCCACAGTGACATTTAAATGATGGAAAATTGTTTCAAAAATTAGACACCAATTGATACGCTTCTAAATACGAATTTATTCATGTTTTTGCCCTATAATGTCAAATTTGTCTTGATAACTTCACTTCAAATCCTGAATGATTTTGGCTCCCATGGCAAGTTTTTGAACGTCTTGTGTCTTTTAGAAAACGTTGGTTGTTTATAAGCAGTAATTATTTTATTTTAATGAACCAAAGAAAGTTTAGTCATCGAAATGATAAAATCATTAAATTTAAAATATTAAGTTATATGAGTGAGATCATCAATTATCAAAGAAGCTGTAAGAAAAAATTGTTGTTTTGATGTAAAAGAATGTTTTTAATTTAAAAGAAATGCAATGCTTGATTTTCAGAAATACGATGTAAAAATTAATGATCCATATTAGAATTCAACAGGCGCGACTCATTCAGAATTAAATTGAAAAAGTTGGTACCTATTTGAAATTTACGGTTTTACAAATTGCTTAATTGAACGCAGTGCAGAAATTCAAGATCACCTATGAGTATGAATTAAGGTCTCATGACTGGAGATCTCAAAATTTATTGTACTACCGCGTATGTTTGATACATAAGCTTTTTGTCCTTTTGATGAACAGAGTTTATTTAGGTTCTATTGACTGTAATAGGTAGAACAATGTGACATATTTGCGGCCATCCAACGATCGGTTGACGGCTTTGACTCTTGATACCACTGTACAAATATTGCGGTGGACACATCTTCCAGAAGTTTCAATGCAAAGATTCTTATTTAAAGGATAATAAATTGATTTGTATTTGTTTACTCAAATTACTCCCACCTATAGATATAAATGAACATTATTCAATTTATTTTAAATGTTTTTCATGAATTCGCATTAAAATATTTATTTCAAAATCAACCATGTCAAAGTAACGAAATAATTTGTTATAGTTTTAGGCTTCCGAAAATATTTCAAACCTCTATCAGGAATATCATAATTAATCATTCTCTTGCATTGAGTATATTAACGTTATGAACCGTGCCGCTGCTGCCGCGATCGTCATTCGTTTTCGTAGTTGCATGCTGGGCGCCTGCTTTTGTTGTTCTATTTAGTTTTGCTCCCATGAATTGCGTGTTTAGTGTGTGCATCATGGAAAAGTCTGCATCAAACTTTACAGCGTAGTCGCTCACGGTAGCTGTAATTACTTTATTAAGTTTAGTTCTTTGCAGTCATATTAAGAGACAAATCTTTAACAAACTAATGCTTTGTATAATTTTAATTGTTGAGTGAAAGCTGCGCCTGCAGCCTTGCTGGGATGCTGGCACGCAACATTTCCAAGTGAATTACCTTATAGAAACTTAGCATACCCATACGTGTTTTAAGCCTATAAGAAGTTCATTTTTTTGCCTCAAATAATGTTGTATCGAAAAACTGGTGTAGGTGTATCGGGAATAATATATGAACCATCAATATTAGAATTCCATCCTGTTGGCCATCTAGCAGGAAAATATTGAGATCCAAAGAGAGACAATGCACGCTACCCAGTGAGATCATCAAAAAATGTGTCAAATTTGAAAGTTGACCTTGCTCTACCAAATAGTGAATAACTGTTTGTATAGGAAGAATATTATGGTTTGAGACTTTTAAATATGTCTGTGAATATATTAGGAATCCTTTAAGTATACTTGTATTTGCTGATTTCAAGTGGTAAATAAATTAATAGATGATAAAGTTGAGAAATGGATTTAGACACATGAAAACTAATTCTGTCACAACTTGAATTGGACACACACAGATCATTCCAAGCTTTGTACAAAAATTAAAATTTGCTTAATTACAAGCTTAATAGTTGTTAATTAAAAGCGTAATTAAGTAGTGTTCAATATTCATTAGTGTTCTAATTCAAAGCCGTGTTGTATTCCTATACAGCTCACACAGCGAACGGAATTCGAACACGTGGATGACGGCATTACGAATCAGTAGAATTTGAAGCGCGGACGGAATATGCCTCACCACGTGCCAAATATAGCCACACACAGTGACGTAATATAGGGATTTGGTAGGTTTGCATTCTAAAGGCTTTTAAATAAATATGGCAACATTTTGTGATGTTTCGTCATTGCTGATGCGTAGTGCGGTGTTTTGAGAGTCACATAAAGCAAACAGAACTTGAGTAACGCATATGGTTATTTTTTATAGTTTTTAATTTCTCGATGCGTCCTTAATCTGACGGAATATACCACGTTTACCCTACAGACAGGCTGAGACAGCATGTTGGAAAGCAGTAGGGTAGGGTAAACGCGGTATATTCCAACATTGTGGGTCACTCACGATGTGTGACCCACTCACTTCTCAATCAACACTTCTCAACTTTTTTCCTTTATATTAAGCTTTTTCTTAGTTTCACGCATTCATTGATGGTTGAAATAGTGACTATCATACTATTGCGTGCCCACTGTGCAGAGAGTGGATGAATATTGCAAGATCTTTGGCGACGCTTCAGTAGCAAAATTTACGCATTCAGAAGATCTTGCTGACACATTTAGATTGAAATTCTTTCATTTAATATATTTGTCAGTCTTCGGCCAACTATTTGAAAAAGTAAGGTTTCCGGTATGTTGGATTGATCAGTATGCAGTGAAGCTTGTCTGGAAATCAGTTGCGATGAGTTCCCGCCAAAAAAAATGTAAACATCAAGTTTACGATTACGTAGTTGCAGTCACATTAGAGGGGTCAGACTGCATCATCACATGTTCAGTTGACACTTGCTGTACAATTGGACTGTTTTTAGGGTAAAATTAGTTATTTGGGGTAACACATGCATGCAACCTTGTAAATAAGTTTGTGGCTTGTAAATAGTTTATCATTACTCAGCGTAAATGGCTTTTCATTAAAAATTACCCGGCAACGCTTAGGGCTTAAAAACCCATATATTGGTGATGCTGCATCCACCCTCTGCACCATGGTTGCGTGCCATACTATTGCCAAAACACTAGGTCTGGGCTGTCTGGCAGGAAAATGTTGAGATCCAAAGACATGCCTGAACATTAATTGGCAAAGAGAGACAGTGCGCATCACCCAGCGAGAACATCAAAAAATGTGTCAAAGTTGATAGTTGACCTTGCTCTACCAAAAAGTGATAAACTGTTTGTGTAGAAAGAATATTGTGGTTTGAGACTTTTAAATAAGGCTGTGAATATATTAGGAATTCTTTAAGTATATGTATTTGCTGATTTCCAGTGTTAAAAAAATTAATAGATGATTAAGTTAAGAGATGGTTTTAGACAAATAAAAACTAATTCTGAAAGAGCTTGGAATTAGACTCATACAGCTCCTTCCAAGCTGTGTGCAAAAATTAAAATTCTCTTAATTAAAAGCTTAATAGCTCTTAATTAAAAGCCAAAATAAGTAGTATTTAATATTCAATAGTGTTCTAATTCCAAGCTGTGTCGTATTCCAGTACAGCCGGAATTACGAATTAGTAGAGTTTGAAGCACGGCTAGACCCGGAATTAGTCTCACAAAATGCCAAATTTAGTCGCACACAGTGTCGGAATATATGGATTTGGTAAGTTTGCATTCTAAAGGCTTTTAAATAAATATGGCAACATTTTATGACATTTCATTGTTGCTGGCGCGTAGTGCGGTGTCTTGAGAGTGACATAAAGCAAACAGAACTTGAGTTGCGCATATGGTGATTTTTTTATAGCCATTCATTTTTTGCCATGTGCTTAAAGTGTCGGAATATACTGCGTTTACCCCTAAACGCAACATATTCTGACACCTTAAGGATGTAGCAAGAAATAAATGGCTATAAATAGATCACCGTATGCGCAACTTGAGTTCTGATTGGTTTATGTTACTCTCAAAACACCACACTACGCGCCAGCAATGATGAAATGCAGAGCTGGGCAGCACTACTTTGAAATGTAGCGGCCGCTACCGCTACATGCTCTAAATGTAGCGGGCGCTACCGCTACCACTACACCCACATCACTGTGCCACTCTAGAAGCTATCTTGATTACCATCATCACAAGGAATTTATGAGCGCGCCTGCCCAAATTGGGAGCTCAGCAATATCACCCGACCTTCCACCACAAAAACCCATTTTTTTTTTTGGCGACAAAAAAAAAAAAAACCTACGTAAAAAAAAACTCAGTGGTGGAAGATTTATTTTATTTTGATTATAGTCTAGCAGCTACAACACTTGTACAAAATGTGGGACGCTTGTCCGGATTCAGCCTGCCTGTCCCTTATTACCCTGTTTGACAGTATACAATAGCTATTAATACCTGTGACAAAACTTCAAGTGAAATTATTATTCTGAATATACTTATTAATTTATTCCTCCCATAGATGCCCACCATGTCAAAGAATTGCTCCAACATTTGCAAGAATGGGAGAGAAGTACAGTGGAGCTGTGTTCCTCAGCGTAGACATCCAGAAGTGTCCTGGATCAGCTCAGCAGAATGCCATCACTGCCACACCAACTTTTATTTTCTATAGAAACAAGGTGGGTTCAAAGGATTCCTTTTCTTTTTTGAAGTCAGCTTATTGCAATAGATTTATATTCAATGAGACAATATCTTTGACCCCACCATCAAATGATTCTTGAGACAAAACTTCCTATCCTTTAAAGCCCATTTAATGTCTGACAACATTCCTGCTCATCTCTCAACCCTTGTTTTTGACATGAGGGAAGTCACATTCATCAATGAATTGTCTGCTTTCTGCTCCTTGCTTGTCTTTTAGCATGGAAAAGGTGATAGAATTGAGATTCATGGGGTTGGTTTGATCAAAAATTTCTTTTATATTATTTTTAATGTGATATGTTATTCGTAATATTTTTGCATTACAAAATTTTTCTCATCCAAACCCACTCATGGTACAGTTAATGTTTGTATATGAGGTCACTATAATATTGGATGTAAACTAGCCAGGTTCCTACTGAAAACAAACTACACAAAAATCAAATCACAAATGATACAGGTACTCAAATTCTTTTCATATAAAGAATATTTATAAGCAGCACAAATTAGTGTCACTAACACTATGTTGTTTTTTTATTGAAGTAGAGATTACAATACTTCTATTTGGGTTTCAAGAGAAATTAATTACAATGTAAAAATTGGCATAATTTGAATGCACAAGATGTAATTAATTCATTGTTCAAGTTTTATGATTCTTCTTCACAAAATTGTCATTGTTTTGTGCAGACTAAACTTGACAGTTTGTCAGGTGGAGACCCAGATGCTTTAGAAGCCAGGATTAAAAAGCATTACTCTGAAGCTGACCAGGTTGAGACTCGAGATTCTGGAGTAGCTGGACATGTGAGTTTAGCTGTTAACTTTGTTCAAATGATAGTGTTTCCGTTCCACAGATTAAGTAGATTAAGTTACCAAAAACTTTATATTTCATCGAATTCTGTCATTAATACTGTTATAACACAGTTGTGAGTTAGATATTTACTTTTTATAAAGATGCAATAATTTTGCATTGATTTGAAAATATTTTCATTGTAGAAATTTTAATGAAAGTTCTCTATCTCAACTGTTAATTGAAGCTTCACGTTTTTTCATCTAAATGGACTCCTCTCAGCTATATTGTGATTCAGGTTTTTATTCCTTTAGTACAGAATTGTATATCAAGCATCTTATTGTACAGATTGATCTTCTTCCCATGATCAACAAAAGTGGCTGTGAATGCCTGAACCAGAACAGTGACCATCCATACACCAATGCTGTCTTCTCCAGCAGTGATGACACTTACCTCGAGAGTGATGCTGATGAACAAGTTAGTAGCTTAGAATCATCAATATAATGACTAAGAAATGTTTGAAATTATTGTGTTTGCTAGTCATCAATTTGTATTTTATTTGTATTTAGTCATCAATTTGTATATATATATATATATATTCATCAATTTATTTTGGTGTGTTTTGCAGTTCTCAAGAGCTCAGAGGGCAAGGCATTAAACAGTTTATAGTTCTAATTTTATATCTTAAATAAATTTTCTGATGGAATCAATTTTATCAGTGATATTTCTCAGAGGAGAAATTTCTTTTGTTTTCTGCTTTAAAAGCTGGGACAGAAGAATAAATTTTTTTATTGGCATCTAGATTTGCTCATTTATTATCTTGTTAGGAATTTGTACATTTTTTAATTTTGCTCATTCACACGTTTATATATTATTTGATAGTCAACTATTCCTCAATAAAGTTAATTGGCTACCAATTTCATATCAATTTAGGTTTCTGTCTCCCTTCATTTTTTTATATTTTTAAGTCTACCAAATTGGATCTACATAATTGAGTTGTCGCTCTCGATTGCTAGACATGTTAAATTTTGCAGCTGATCCTGTCTCTGGAGTACAGCCAACATGTAAAAGTGCACAGTTTACGCATCAAAGGACCGGCAGACACTGGCCCCAAGAATGTACGTCTCTTCATCAACCAGCCTTACGCCATGGACTTTGACTCAGCTATGAACAACATAGCAGCCCAGGAGCTAACGTGAGTTGCTCTAAGGTATAGACATTGTCAGCAATTAGAAATAATTTACTCTGGTTCGCTAAAGGCAATGAATTTATTTTTTGGCTGGAGAACAACAGACCAAACTGATGACTACATTTAATGTATTTGGGATGCCAATTTTGTATTTATACTTCTATTTTTTAATGGTGATGAGCTCTACTAATATTGGTCAGAATTTACTATGTTCATGCTTTTTGTGACGAATTTTTTTGTCAATATCCAATGTTAGTTATGTCTGTACAGACTCACGTTGAATCCGTTCATAAACTTCGAAATACATATATTTACCTGCTATTTGATGCGCAGGCAGTCTATTGGTTTATTTCAATGTATTATCTGTTCTATTACTGGCTTATTCCTGTACAGATTGACCGAGAAGGATTTGAAGGGGTCGCTCATCAAGCTGAAGTATGTAAAATTCCAGAATGTCCAGAACTTGACGATATTCATCCAAGACAACCAGAGCGGAGACGAGGTGACCAGGATCAACTCGATACAGGTTCGCAAGAAATTTATTTCTGAAATCTAGTTATCCTGCAGTGGATTATTAAGTATTCAACTTTTGTTATTCTCGTAATTATAAAGTTTATCAATATTTCGCGATTCCATTTAATTATTTTGAATTCCTTCATATATTTTTTCGATTATGGTTTTAATATTTGGCTTAGTGTTTGAAACGTAATATGCACACTCGGAAATTTCATAATTTCAAAGCCACTCAGATTAAGTAGAATCTTGTGAAACGAAATGATGAAATTACTTTAAGTTAGTTAAACTATCGTTGAAAATACTTGTTTTCATGCCTTTCAACGAAATTAACCATTTATTGGCATTATTTTATATCCAAATTTATAACGTGCTGATCTTAGATATTTTGTTTGCAGGTTATTGGCAGCCCTGTGCAGACGACAAACATGTCGGACTTCAAACGCGTCGCCGGCAAGAAAGGTGAAAGCGAATGATGCTCTTTTGTCCAACATTCATTTTCGAAGCTTGAAGACTATCGTTTCCCTGTGTAACATGATTGGAAAAATAGCTGTGGCCCATTTCTTCTATTCAGATTTCGAAATTTGTCCATATCGCATAGTTTGCTATAGCGCCGGCAGCAATGCACATTTTGCAAGCTATCAGCTGATGAACAGCGTTTGCTGGATAGTGCTCCAAATTAAAAAAAAAACACAACCTAATTGAACTAGATAGGCTGAAATTCCTTAATTAAGATTAAGGAATTTGCTGGTATTTTCAGTGTTTCGTGACATGTTGTAATTGATTATTCAAATTTTAGTTTTTCAAAGTCAACAGATTCGTGTGTTAGGTATAAATGTCTTTATTTAAATGCACTTGGTTTAACCTCAAGCTGTAATAGCTCTCACTTTGTACCTCGAAATTAAATTTATCTAATGGCGACTATTTTCACAATCGGGAAGTTTCATTCAACCATCTTATTCAGTTGTGTGCTTGGTAAGTGGTAACATATAAATAGCCTATGACTGAACAATTATCAAGTTCAGTCGTCTAAGTTTCTACGCGTCAGTTCCAGTTCACGGCTTGAACTGAAAATGCCCATATTTGAAAACCGGCTATCAAATCTCCTATTCAAAAAGAAAAAACATATTTCCAATTGAGGACCTCGTCTCAACGTTCCGATAAGTAACTAATTTGAACGACCTGGTGCGTCACAGGTGCGTGACGTTCTAGAAGGTTCTAGAACTTTCTAGATGGTTCTAGAAAGTTATGATGGTTCTAGAAAGTGATTGAACGCAAAACAGTCCAACTCGAAAGCGGCTCATGGAAAATCAATCTTTTTCAATCGGCAGTGTTAATGACCACATATAATTTTAGGGATTATCGGCACTAGTAAATATTGAATTATGCACTTTTTTTGTCTGTCGCTTTCATAGGCCATCTGGCAACCTTGTTTGACTTTATTTCAGCCAACCATGCCGAGCACATCACGGGATGTAATTGGTGTTCATTTTAATGTTTAAAAAACAAAACAAAAATTTGTTAGTTTTCACTTGTTACAATAGACGTTTCTTCCGTTCAGTTCAAAGCCATTGATAGGAGAATTAAATTAATCCGCTCAATAGATGGCTGAGCAAAATGCTTTATAACATGAATTATTAGGAAGTATCAAACAACACAAGATGAAAAAAAAATTCACAAGTTGAAGTAAAAAAAAATCAGAAATGTTGAAATAAAATAATTGAATTATCGTAAAAAATAGTGTAATTGTACACGTCGATGCAGTGTTCATTACGGATTTCGTAGGGACAAAAAAAAACTGTCTCCGCACAGAAGCATTCAATATTAAATTCACGCCTTCTATAGTCTACATAGTACGATAGGCTAATGAACAGGATGAATAGATGACACTAACATGTCCTAGTGCTTCAATTTTATTCATACATATTAATTATATAAGTTCACTTCAGCTCCAGATCGATTAATAGCTCCATTAAATGGGGTTAATTAGGTTACGCAATGAATAGACGAGGCATCAAGATAAATACAGATTAAATGAAGGTTGATTATATTGAGACATGAATATTAATGGATGAGGCATCGGTGTTGGTAATACAGATCAACTATGCAGCTTACGAATTTTTTGTCATCGTTAAATTTACGCTGGAAACGCGTGATACTTTTTCCTTTGGTTTCCTGATAAGATGCCCCGAAATATACCGACGACTTGAGTGACACTGCCAGGATAGTGGAATATTCAATCTAGTGCAGCCGGTGACATACATCTGTTCAAATATATATCATGCGGTACACACGATGAAGACATTCAATGCTAAATATTTGTATAATTAACACTGAGTACACGAAGATGAAAATATGTTCGTGGAGCAATAGAATACATGTTCTAAATACTGGTCGAAATCACGCGATATTTTTATCCGATGTTGATTCACTGACGGTCGTGTTTACCTTGCAGAATTATATATGGAGATACACATTGAAATACGGGACTCTCGGCACGGTGGGTTACATTGACACCCTCAACCATTGCACAGACGAACACAAAATGTAAGCCATACGGAAAGATCCTTTTAATTCACCGTCAGAAAAGGAAAACAATGACAATCATGCGTTTACAATCACTAGAATCCTACGTACGCAGAACAATTGATCAGTGGTTCCCAAACGTAGGGCATGTTATGTCCGATGGTTAGCGCGGTCATTTTTTTTCGGAGTGGTTGCTAGGTGCGCATCTATTCAATGTTATAATTTAGAAGCACTTTAATCTTAGCTTGGTATCTTGAATTGACAATATTTCTGGAATTGGATAACTTGATTATTTTGCTTACTTGACACGAGGTTTATTATTAAACGTACCAAATTTAACTTAAGGTCAAGTGTTAACTTGCCAACAAGGTGGATGGTTTGGGAACCACTGCAATAGACGAGGCGTCTCAAATATTTAGATGAACTTGAGAATTTATTTCGCTAGCAACAACGACGTAGAGAAAAAGGGTGACAATAAACGTCCCCGGCCAGCAGGGACACCATATAGGAAGCTAATTATTATCGAATTAGACAAACACTGAAGGGGACAATTAATTGATTGAGTGCAACAGATTTACAAGTGTGACGTTGGCTTAGAAAAATTGAAACTCAGCCAGAAGATTACGTTAAATGATAGCGATCAGAAGTATCAATGCTTGACCTGATGACCGAGGTACACATGGATTTTAAAAATGGTATGATCAAGTTTTATGCTCAAAGACATTTTAGATAATTAAGCATGATAAAAATAGGAGAAATTTTCATCTCAATAACTCAAGCTAAAGCTCTGAAATCAGTTATTCACTCAACTGGACATGAAATTATGAGGCTTATATTGACAGCCCGTATAGGTGACCACCAGAGATGATTTGAAGCGTGCAACGATTTTGGCAGCAAACGATGCAAAGCAAAGCGGAGAATATTTGCCTCATCTCGTCGGGTGCAATGCATCATAAGTATGATTATCTCACAACATGACTTAACACAGAACTAGTTCATTAACACACACAGATCGAAAGACAACATAATAACAGGTCTAAAGCTAGTACTCAAAGAAACTCTAACGGATGCGCATTAGTCAAAAAGATGTACAAATTCTGTTAAACAATGTAATGAATGTAAATTACGATACTCTTGGAGTTATTTTATTCAGGTAAACACTCAGCATCGGAAAATTTAATCAACAATTGACATTTCAGTGAAAAACCGTGGAATAATAAATGAGTGTGGAAAAATTGTTGAAGACTTACCTACGTCAAAATTATTGGGTATTTATCTCTGCCAAGGAAACGAGACTCGACTCAGAAAATGACTACGCTCAACGTTTTTTCAGCTGACAAGATTGAAAACAGAGTCTGTTATTAACGATTTAACATGAAAGTTCCCCTTCACAGGACAGGTAAAGAGATGCACTCTTCAGCAGCATACAAACATTACGCTTAGAGTCAAAGAAACTAAAATGAAAGCGAACACTAGTTCACTAAAGGGGTCTTGACAAAAGAAAAATAGCAAAACTTCCAGTACATAGGACTAAAATGAAAATGGTGTGTAAAATACAAATTAAAAACGAAGCTTGGATCCAAAATGAATCATCGGAAGACCAGCATTTTCAAGTTGTTATAGCAACTTCAAATGAATTAAATAATATTTTAACGATTGTCAACATGAAAAAAGCATCTTTTAATTTTACTTTTTTTTTGCCAAGTACAAAATTGAAGAGGCGGCAAATGAAGAGGAAGAAATTGATTTGAATAAATATAGTCCTTCTTAAAGAAGAGATATCAACACAATATAACGAGATATACGATGCTATGAATCACTTCAACAGTGAAAAGATATCGTTATTGAAGAAATTCAAATTAAAGAACATTTCATCCTGGATAAAAATAACTAGGCAGATTAACAACTCCGAAGCTTATGGAACTATAGGAATATTTCAACAGCTTTATTAAAGAAGGGCTCTTTAAAAATTAACACAAGAGGAAAGCTAAAGAGTAATACAGCACGTGTGGGGTGAAAAGAAAAATAAGACTAGCATTAAAATAAGAGATAACAAACGCATCGTATTTGTGCTTTCTACCTAGCGTTAGTTTTAGGTAAGAAATAATATATACAGTCAAAGTAATCTCTAAGCTTTTGACAGTCCAGCACCGAAACGCAGCAGGAGCAGACGTGAATTTACTGCTCTAAGTTATAATTCAGTGCAACTTCAGACCAGCATCGATTGTTTTAAAGAAAGTTTGCTTCAGGAACTTCTTGGAGGGAGGAACGTGCAGGCAAGACAGCTAGACAAACAATGAAAAGAGTGGATGTAATGGTACCAAAATGAAGCCCAACTTCCATGTCTGTTCAGCAACACGCTCAGATACTCTTGAATTAACAAAATAATATCACCTTCGAAGCTACACTGCTGTACAAATCAGCAGAAATAGGCCATAAGTTCACTTATTTCCTCTTAGAATAAATATATTTTTATCCTGAATGAACAAAAATCTACACGCGAATATTGACTTGCTCCACATCTAGTGTTTAGAGCAGATATTGGGTTCACCGTGAACTACTACTTTTCCCATAGATAATCTTTGCCTCATACAAGCCAAAAGCAAGACACTACTACGAGTCTCCCCGTACTAGTAAAAAAATCGAAAAAAACGAAGAAGCAATAGACACGGTCAACCAATTTCAAATTCCACTCCAACAGACAGAGATATACTAGTTAATGCAGAAAGAAACTGAGACTAAGAACACTAGCATGCAGGGCTAATGCTTAACGTAGTAATACGCAATCCTGCACACAGTCTACTCATCGCACCGTCAAATAGTGATAATGTCAAAAAAATGTATTCGACAAACGCGACATTATCACCATTCTTGTATCATTTCCTAAAAATATGTCCTGCTCCCATTATGCATTTTTTAAATTACCATGAAGCCCAAATCTAAAATAGAACAGAAAATACGGATTCAACCACGTACTTTACGTCTCGAGCTGAAATTTGAATAAACCAAGCAACAATGCATAATAACTGATTAAGTGATCAATCAATTTTGTCGTTACATCCGGAAAAATTACATGGAGAAACAGATTCGAAACGTACACAAATTTTGTTCAATGAGCGATTCAGCCGCAGTTCATCGATATAATGGAACTCTATATATAGTGAGCAGAATTTGAATATGAATCCGGGTGAATCCGCTGGCATGTAATAACTTTAGTTCAAACACCACACTGATATCTCAATGCAATACATTTTTACAGTTAGCGTGAAAATATTGCACTACAATCATACAACTTGACTCTTGAAGTACACAAAAAATTTAAGAGCTCAGAAGCATCTCAAATTTTATGACAACTCATCTGAGCCAGAGGTTAGTGAGCGTAGTGTAAAATCTTCAGTTCACACATTATTTAAATCCCCACTGAGACCACGACGAACATCACAGCAGATAGTAACTGAGCCAAAACTTTGGCGGCAGAGGAGATTGCAAAATAATCCAGCATTCTACATAGTTTTAGTTTTTACACGGTGAGTGCGATGAAGGAGTTGTACTGCTCGATGTTGCGCTTCAAAATATCCGAACAGCTTCCAAGCACACGTTCAAATCTGTAACACAAGACAAAAAAATGAAATTACAAGGCAAATTTCGTGATGGCGTCAGCGCTGTCGGTGACGCTCTGTCAACAAGTCAGCCGCTTAGATGTCTTGAACATTCTTCTGGCCGTTCTCGCGGTCGTTTCAGTAATCCTAAAATCATGGCAAATATAAAAAAATAATCATGAATGTAATTCTAACGTAGTACTTCGCTCTCACATTCCAACAGACTTCGGCCTTTGGTTTAGTCTTGCAAACAGAAACATAACCATTTGCCTCAGGGTACACGAAAATAAAATGCAAGATGTGCTTCGATGGTCCTCAAGTCAACAGAAGCATAGAATGCGAAGGAATCGCGAAAGTAATATACTAGTTTTGACTTCCTAACATTATTGCTGACCTGACTATCGCGCCATGCCTCCAAAATTTGCCTCGCTTGTCCTAAAGACAACAAAGAACACTAACAGAAGCACTGAATACGAAATCAAACAAATGAGATTATTACCGACCTGGACCTGTCGCGCCATGCCTCCAGAATTTGCCTCGATGGTCCTTAAGTCAACAAAGAACACTAACAGAAGCACTGAATACGAAATCAAACAAAAATGAGATTATTACTGACCTGGCCCTGTCGAGCTTGACGCACTTGAGAGGCCCGTCAGCGACGACGGTAGCGGCGCGCGGTCTGTCGAGCAGCAGGGCGATCTCGCCGAAGTAGTCGCTGGGTTTGAGGCGCCCAACTTCTACAGGCTCGTGTTGTGGTGACCGCGCCTGCAATGTTTTCGACAAGGTAATTTTTAAGTCAGTAACCAAAAATTCAATAAAAATTTCGATAATTTGAAAAGTGGTGACAGTGTACCTGTAATTGTTACTAAAAGAATGGCAGGCTTATTTTCATAATTTTCAGAACTATATCAACGCGATTAGTTTTCACATACTAATAGAATAAAACTGAGCGTTGAAAACGCTGGGCCTTAGTCTTTTTGTACTGGCAGATAGAATTACACGTTATAGAAATGTTCAGCTGTCAATCAATCGCTACCTTTACATGAACAATGAATATAGGAATGAAAGTACTTGTAAATATAGGATAGGATAACAGGATTTTCGGGGTTATACAATTCTTTGTTTGGAGTAAAAATGTACATTGAAGTACTCGTATAATGGAATTGCAATTGAAAATAACATAATCTCATTTTTTGGAATTAACTAAGTTTTGTTCTTCGTTTGCAAAAGTTTATAGCGGGTAATTACACATTATGATTAGAATTAAGTTTGATTTTCTTGAAATAAACATACCAATTGAAAAAAATGATCTATAAGAATCAAGAGGTAAATTTTTAAGCAAGATGTACTTGCTATTGACAAACTAACCTGCAAGACCACGGCAGTGCCTTCCACGATGATGAAGAAATCATCACCGGGTTCTCCTTGCTTCACGACGGCTTCTTTGTCAGAGAAAGAGACGGACTCGAGAGCGTCAGCAATCACAAGCCTTTCCCATTGATCAAGAGAATCTGCAACGGCAAAAATATCTAGAAGGACAGATCACTCATCAGACATTTGTGAATAATCCTCACGACAATTTCAATTCATATATTCTTATAAAATATAAAAGATAATAAAAGAAACTAGCTTGGTCACTGCTGCCAATGAGTTTAAATTTTATCAAGGCAATAGAATATTACAGATCGAAAGAGATTATTTCCATTTCTGCCTGTTGATAACAATCACTGGACTGGATTACTTACCACTCACCCAGTATGGATACTCTAGACAGGAACTGTAGATGCCACTCGCATAGTATTGAAACCCTACACCGGAACTACAGATACCACTCACCCAGTATCGAGACCTTAGACAGGAACTGGTCGTACATCTCTCTCTTGCGGATGGTACTGCCCATAAGAATGCGTCTGTAGCTGTCCCTGTCGATGCCCCAAAGTTTGACGTCGGTCCTAGCCTTAACGGTAGCCTGGCGAGGTGTGCCGTAGATCAGAGCCAGCTCACCAAAACTGCCGCCGTCGTTGATGTTGCACACCAGTTCGTCGTTGACGTAGATCTATAAAATCAAATAACACTTCAACACACGTGTTTAGCAGTGTAAAAAATATATAGTCTTTGAATATTCAAGAATTTTTATCAACGTACGCAAACGATAATCAATCTCTAATATTTAGGACTCGTGAAAGTCGTCTATCACAAATAGAACTCACTTTTATAGTTTGTCGGCAGTAACATTATAATAGCTTCAAGTAGTACATTATTCTGGCAAGTTTAAGCAAGTATTTAACAGCAGATTTCATGAAAAGCGTGCATTAGCATAGTGGTTCTAGCTTTCATTAGGCCGTAGGCCTATCGCCGATTCTTAACATTGCAGAACATTCACAGCTTGTTGCGTTTTCGCACTTGCATGTCATAGCTATTTTGCGTTGCCCAACCGCCTAGCCTCCTCTCTGGGATCGAACCTGCAATTCTCTGATCCAATCTTGGTACTCTGAACTGTAACCACTGGGTACCCCTGCCCCGATTGTTCAACCCAAACTGAAATTTCTTCATACATGTGCAAAAAAATGAGAAAAGCAATCCAGTAATAAAAATTCTACCTTAATATTCAATTACGAATTCTAATGAAAGCTGCATGATATAAATATCGTTTTTCCTTTTCTAATGCCCTCTATGAACATAATCTGTAGCTCAAAATTGAAATTTATGCTGTAAGTTGTCAGAACTACAATTTCTCAGAAGACTACCGTATTTCACGCATTGTTCACGAAATTCTCTATTTTTGTAGCCCGACAGTAACGCTCAATTCTAACAATAGTTAACAACTGCATAACCTTCAGATCACTCGTTATATTTATGATAAAAAATTAAAGGAACGGTGTACCATAGAAAATCATGACTACGAAACATTGATAAAAAACGTTCCTCAAAATAACTCAAGAGATTTTATACACAATGTAAAGGCTTTCGCTAACCAAGAAGAATTGACATCATTAACCAAATCTTAGCCACAATAAAACAAACGTTTAAGTTATATTAGGGAAACGACCATGAAAAAAATGCCCGACAATACTTCAAAAAACTTAATACAAGGCTCATACACTACCCTAATTGTCCTTCACTTGCGTCAACGGTTATCTAGTGGTTACAAGGAATCGGTTACTTCTATGTACCTGCCAAAATAATCATCAAGCACAGTTGCTCAATATGTTATCGGATATGAAGACTAACGTCGACTTTTCAAGTACGTACCTCCTATGCATCTGCCAAAGTAATCATCAAACCCATATCTTAACATGTAATCGGTAATATAAACAGTAATGTGGCTTATCAAGAACCCTCCTTTATCTGCTATATCATCTATTAAGCCCGGTCCATTAAACCGTCGTTATCTGATAAGAATACTAACGTCGACTTCGCCAGTATCGATGATGTAGAAGTTGTCGCCCTGGTCGCCCTGTTGGATGATGACTTCTCCAGCTATGGCTGTGACGGGGAACATCGCGTCAAAAATGTCCGACTGTTCGTTTTCGTCGAGGTGCGAGAAGAGCACGTTCTTCTGTATGGCTTTCTTGAGTGCCTCCATTGTTTTGTAGTCCTTGGGCACGACCTGTAATTAATATAACCTGGTTACCTACCAATCAAACATAGATTTTCAAGATAACCGAAGATAGCTCATGAAAAACCAAATACTTGTTATAATAAATATAATAATATTCTTTATTAAGCTTTCATAGACATCCCCAAGGATTTTTTACTTTCACCTCGACGTCGCATCCCACGCTGCTTAGTAAAATAAAAATCACTCAATTTTAGAGAAATGTCCGATCGGCTATCGTTGCTCTTGAATTTTCTCACGGGTTTGGTTTACAGTCAACGGCCATTTTGGTGTGTAAAAATCCTTCGTTGTGAACACATACGAATTTCGATGTTTGTACCGGAAATAAAATATTTTCCAGAAACTTTATGACTTTTCAACTAACACTATATAAAATATGCTGATATTAGAATGGGTGGGTATTTTTCCTACAAAACATAATTGTGATTATTAATTTCACTTGCACTGAAAAGAATTAATTTTTTATTATTTCCCTTTAATTAAAAATAATTCTTAATATATTTTCCATCACCTAGCAAATCGTCTAATCTTGAAAGTACGTCACCTTTTTGACATAAGACGTGGCGTCGTCGTCCTTGATGCTCTCGTTGCTGACGCCATTCCTGCGTCTAGCCTTGTACTGCAGAGGCGCCTGCTCAGCCATGGGACTTGAGTCCTCCGCGCTCCCTTCTTCAGGACTCCTGCAGCGTCCTGCCCCCTCCTCCCCGCTGCTCTCCTAGACATAACATAATTAATTATTACCTCGTCGCTTGCATCGGTCATTATAATTATAGTAATGAAAACTATGCACCTGCACGTAGGTTAATCCTGTACATAAAATAATTAATTATTACATCGTCGCTTGCATCGGTCATTATAATTATAGTAATGAAAACTATGCACCTGCACGTAGGCTAAGACTAAGAGGTTAAATCGTTCTCGTTTACAACGATTATGTCACGATTATACTATAAACAATGCAATGAGATTTACGAAATTAATGAACAATGATGATAAACGACAGACAAAATGCGATAAAGAAATTACCCAACACTTACTTAGTTCATGGTGTTAATAAGTTAATTGAATGTAATTATCATAAAATATAAGGGAAGCAAGGTTAGCCACCCGAAGGCGAGCTAAGATTCTTAATAAAAATTAACGCACAATTGAATTAATCATTTTGTTTACCAGCTAATACAGACCCTAGATGAAAGAGTTCGAAGAGTATCATCTACTACAGCCAGAATGATAATAATTAAATTAACCCTGAACAAGAACGAAGTCCAAATAAAAATCCTGAACATCGTGCGGGACAGATAATCCACGAATAATGTCACTGCTGAGATTTTTTAAACTAATTTTTTTACAGAAATATAGGAAATAATTAACACGCAACGCTTTTAAATTTTTCCATTCGTTATCAAATTCCCTCAGTGTGGCAGAGGCGAGGAGCAAAAAGGATTCAGTTCACGACCGATTCAAATCATTTTCTTCTACCATCCCGGTCATCTTCCTTGTGATTGCGCTATCATAAATTTCAAACTGCAAGATAAGAAAAATTTCTATCCCCCAGCAATCGATCAAAATATAATTCGGCTTTACGGAAAAATGTCAATTTTTCGAGAGATGCCTAGAATTGCGCTCGCGGTAGAACACGTCAAAAAGGAGAGTCTTCAGAGATAAAAAAAAATTCGCAGGCAAAAAAAAAAGAAAGTGACAGGCAAACGTAAAAAATAAAGTCGCAAGTAAGCGTAAATAAGAAGTCGAAGGTAAACGGAAAAAAAAAGAAAGTCGCAGGCAAACGTAAAAAAAAGAAAGTCGCAGGCAAACGTAAAAAAAAGAAAGTCGCAGGCAAACGTAAAAAAGAAAGTCGCAGTCAAACGTAAAAAAGAAAGTTGCGGGCAAACGTAAGAAAGAAAGTCGCAGGCAAACGTAAAAAAGAAAGTTGCAGGCAAACGTAAAAAAATAAAGTCACAGGCAAACTAAAAAAAATTGCAGTCGAACGTAAAAAAGAAAGTCACAGGCAAACGTAGAGAAAGACGCAGGCAAACATAAAAAAGAAACTCGAAGCCGAACGTAAAAAAGAAAGTCACAACCGAACGGAAAAAAGAAAGTCGCAGGCAAACGTAAAAAAATAGAAAGTCGCAGACAAACGTAAAAAATAAAGTCGCAGGCAAACGTAAAAAAGTCACAGTCGAACGTATAAAAGAAATTCGCAGGCAAAGGTAAAAAAGAAAGTCGCAGGCAAACTTGAAAGAGAAAGTCGCAGGCAAACGTAGAAAAAAAAGTCACAGCCGAACGTAAAAAAGAATGTCACAGTCGAACGTAAAAAAGAAAGTTGCAGGCAAAATAAAGGTCAATCGGCTGACGCTCGTGGACAAAGGGCATACATGACCGAGGTGGCCTGTGACGTCACAGCCACAACAGCCAATGGCTCACTGTCTCGAGCCAGGGAGCAGTTACGCCATAGCCCACAGAACCGAATATTTGTCCAATTTGTTGAGGTGAACCAAATCCAGTCTAATTGGATTGAACAATCCGCAGTGAATGACGATGAATGAAAATTATCGCAATCGACCACCTAGACATCGAATGCTGCAAACTTTTATGGCTGAGACACCAGGAATATGAAAAATAGATTTTATTTTAAGACGGGCAAAGAATTTTACCCCCATAGCAAACATAATTTTTCCTTCTCAGTTTAAGACGCATCGTGGAAGCACTGCCGTCATAAATTCTCAAATGAAAGGCCATTTCAGAAAGACTGAGCTTCATTTTTGTCGATTTTGGAACTTAATTACCAAATTCGGTTTTAGTTGCAAGAAAGATTTAGTTTCAGAATTTCCACGGTGATATTTGCCTCAGATGTTTGGGAGTTGAACAGCATTAGTTTCTTTGATATTGACTTGTCATCTAAAGTTGCGTTGTAAAAAATATGTTGATATGAGCCAAAATTAATGCCTGCGTTGGGTGTTAACTGCCGACGTGAAAGACTGAAACTTAATAGATAGTGTTATCCACCTCCGACCCTAATTTTATAGTCTCTTAGATGGTTAAAAGATTCAAGTGTTTCATTACACTGAATCAACTAACAAGTTTAATACCCAATAAATAAATAAATACATCTAAACGACAGAAAAACAAGTCACCCGACGTTGGCCATTAGGTAATACGTTTCTAGAACGAGTTGTAATGTCCGACGGAACCAAACACGAAAATTACGATGGCACTTCTCGAAATTTACGACGTGCTTTTTTCTTATCATTGACATGACATACCGGCTGAACGCAGCTATATTTTACCGATGTAATCGAACTCGACGGGATCTATATTGAAGGCAAAAAAAAATCTTTGCCTTTACGACAAAAGATCTCGTATTTTTCGCATCTCAAATGCTCGACGCTAGAGTTGAAAATGAAAGCAATCGTTCCAATAGAACCTCATAGCAATGGAGTGCAGAACCCGACTCCACAGAGGCGTCTGCACCAAGATAAATAAGTGAGGCTTTTTCCAGATAGCAATGCACTTTTTACTCTTGCGCGTGTCATCCTGACTCAGCGCTGATAAATATTTTTTGCCTCAAACACGGCAAAAAATATTTATCACTGCTACATGCAGGAGGTGTGTGCAGTCAGTGTGTCGTAATTTAGATAAAATGACCCAGACATTTTATTAAGTGATGCCTGCACTGCACAATCGTCGCAGCTCGGAAATTCACAGAGAAATTGGAGAGGCTGGTGCATGCGCACTCGGAAAAATGAACGAGTCATGTTGTCCAAATGGGGAGACACCTGCGTGTAGCATTAATACGCCTTTTCCTAAGGGCAAGCTGGGTCATTGTGGCCCACACAGGGCAAAAAGTGCATCGTTATGCGAACAAAATCGCGTTCATTTCTTTGAGTGCGCGGTGTACCAAGACTGGAAACACGGAAGGGGAGTTTCTGACCGGCGTGTTGATAACGCACGTCGAGGGCCTACAAAGACAGCTTATAATGGTGGCAGGAAATGATGAATACAAAGACAGCTTATTATGCTGGGAGGAAATGATGAATACAAAGAAAGCGTATAGTGGTGGGAGGAAATGATGAATACAAAGACCTGTCTCTTATACACATCTAGATGTGTATAAGAGACAGGTNATGATGTCAGGAAATGATGAAAACAAAGACAGCTTATAATGGGAGGAGGAAATGATGAATGCAAAGACAGCTTTTAATGGTGGGGGAAAGGATGAATACAAAGACAGCTTATAATGGTGTCAGGAAATTATTAATATTTGATAAATAAAGGACGCAAGGTTTATCTCAAGAACGATTATACGTTGAGCGTCAGGCTATTTTAGATTTTTGTCTAAGAGGGTAGCGAATCCTCTGCAATTGTTGTCTAATTTTACAATTAATACAAGTATTTTTACGTAACAGTAATTAGAGTGAGCAAATAAAGAATAAAAATCATAAAAACGTCAGCAGCATTGAAATTTAATAAATTTGAATTGAATTAATGAACACATTCATAAAGGCGATCAAGTCGAACATAGTTGTAATTTATACGAATATTTACAGAAACATAAACGAAGAAATATCAACATAGTTCTTAATGGGATCTTCGTGATAAGCTATATAATAGAAAATAAAATTAATATTCGATCAATAATATTAAACAAACTAATTTTGTAATAATTACAAATTAATTATTTAATATTTCAGACAAGTTTCAACATCAATTTATTAAATATTGTAAAATTTCTATGTGGTTTTAAGCTCAAATGGGATTGCACTACACTTGCCTAATGAGCGTTGACAAAGACGAAGACTTCCGCCCGTAAGGTTTAAAAGGTACATATAAATACTGCCAAATCCGTCCCTCTACTCTTAATATTTATATATAAACGTTTTAATTCCAAAACTAGCGCTTTGTCTCGAAAAGTGCGAATATTTAATCGCAAAGTGAATTTGCGCATGGGTGAGATTTTGAGATACGTTTAACTCTACTAACGAGTCAACTTCTTTACAGTACAAACGACACAATTAAGAGAGGGACTAGGTACTACTAAGTATCGGGTAGTACAAACTATAGAAACACCACCTCGAATTAGCCAGGAACTCCACACACATCACCACATATAGGCAGGGCATGGTGAGGTATAATGAACACGTCTTGAGAGAGCCAGAGCAATAAACATATATAGGGCGCACGGCAGCACTTCAATAAGTCCGCCACAAAGGAAGCTCTATGCTAGTGTTAATAATCGCTGCGCTTCTTCTCTAAGTGACGTAGAATGAATAAGGTTCGCATATTAATATTTCGAAAATGAATTATGCATTTGTTATAGCAAAGACATTCAATGAGCTCGTTATTTCAAACCTGATGACATTCTGAAAACCACTTTTCTCGCGTTTCGGAGAAAAATATCTTCAGCGAACAAAATAATAATAATAATAAATAATAATAATGTGAAAATGGGCAAGAAACGTAGAAGCTCAGAGCACATTTTTGCACACAACACAGAACTAGCCAATACCATCACCCAACACAGAATTGCGTTGACCTTTTAAACAAAATTAGTCATTATTCTGGCGCTGCACCATCAATGCCGCAGTGAATAAAAAAACTACTCAAATAAGGTCTGGTAACAATGTCATAAATTTAATCTGATATCGGGGTGTTAATCAGATCTTTAAGCTATCAAATTTATTGCGGTTGCTTATTTAGCCTTTAATGCTTGGACAATAC